TATCAAATGTTATGACATACTATGGAAGATTATGACATATTATGGAATATTATGGTTGAAACATGTTGAAGCCGAATGGGACATTCTACAATGGAATATGCATAGACTATTCATAGAATATTCATGAAATAATAACGGAATATGATCAATGGCCATTCCAGGATCCTAAATTGGAGGTACCTACCATATATAATGCCTATATAGGGCCTATGTAAGGGGATATACACTCAAAATATGGCCTTATATGGTACAGTACCTCCATTTTAGGATCCTGAAATTCCCATTGATATGATGAGCGCCCTGGAAGCTTTAAAAAGAACACATGAAAATCAGGGCCCTGAGTAGGTCGTGGCAATTTCAAAGATTTTTGAAAGAGGAACCATTCGCCGAACATATACTGTACAGTAGGCTCATTTTACTCTTGGAATCAGAACAAGTGCGAGTTGGGTCAAGGGTCGAGCCAGACATGACTGGTCTTTTTTTGGGAGTTCCAATGATTTTGACCCATGCCATACGTGGGTATGAAGGGATGGGTCAGGTGCCTTGATTCACAGAATTGGGGAACAGAAAACCCTGGGATAAAACACTGCAAACCCCCACGTTTTCCGGACATTTTCCCTTTAAGAATCAATCCATTGATCCCAGTAGATTTTTTGAGTTTGGTGATCATTCATCCCAAAAACTATGTCCATCCACTATTTCCTGAACATGTCCAACCAATCTCCTAATTTCATGTTCCCGGAGGCGAGTCGGGAAGCTTAACTCATGCGGAGCTTCTGCTGTGGCGCCACAGAAAGACGCAGGTGCCGTGGCATGGCGGGGTCGTTTCGGATGGCTGGGCGGGTGGAGATCGAACTGCCTATGGCTATGGGTGAAAACATGCTAAAACAAAGCACCCCGAATTGGTAGATTACCGTACCACTGTTGAACTTGGAATCGCTGAAAGATGTTGCAAGGGTACCAGGATTTCGAAGGATTACGATCTATGCACATATTAGGGAGCATGTCACCACGCCAAGACCATGATCTTGTGATATGACACTGGAATCTGTTGAAGGTGGGAGTTTGGACCTGTCTTTCAAACACCAGCCAGTACTTGGTGTAAGTGCGCCCTGCACGAAGCAGCGGGTTCCAGGAGAAGAAGGAAGAGCTGCGAAGCAAGATCCGGATTGAGGAGGCGAACCAGATATGACCCAAAAGGAACGGATGGTTTTGGGATTCCAATATTATGATCATAGAATATCATAGATATGTATGTTTCCCAAATCATATGCCAGGTTAAAAGATGATATTTGCATTTGACGCCGGGCCGCTGAGCCAGAGCCCTTGGGATGCATGGGATGCCGCACAGAACAAGTCGGTTTCAGGTCAGTGGATGTACCTTCCGGCCAAAGTGCAATCCTCCCAAGCGCCAGCCCCAGCTATTTGCGGGTAGAGATGTGGGAAAAAAAACACGTCGATCCCAAGGTCATTTACAGACCATGGATGATGACCAAGAAAATCTGTTCAGCCCATGTTGGTGAACCAAGCACTGCAAGATCTTGAACAAAAATCCAAGGATTTATAGACAGTTTGTATAGCCTTCTTTGACACAAGACAGGTCAAGATTTGAGGCCCAATTCGGTATCTCTGGTGATGCCCATCTCACAGCAGAGTCTCCAAGGCCCAAAGAGGGACATGTGGAGATCCTCACGCCGGCAGGGAGCACCCGCGCTGAGGCGCTGATCTGAGCCTGTGCTGAATGGTCAGCCCCATTCAGTTCTGATGAAGATATCATATATTTTAATTGGATACCAGTTTGAAGTCAAATTCGATTTTGTTTGGTCCATTCCGCCAGATTGACAGGTTTTAATATGAATTAATATGCATGGATCCATGGATCTCTACTGCAGCCACAGGTTCTCTATGAGAGAGGCTTGGCAGACAAGAAGCAGCGGGAGCAGAAGGCCCCCGTCTGCGGCCTTGCAGCTGAGATCTTCAGTAAACATCTTGTGAAGTTATTGGTAGCAACTCTAAGCATGTGAGCTATGGTCAATACTCATGGTTAATAACCATTAATAGGGGCTAGTCATCCAATGGTTCATAGGGATTTATAATAACCATTATAAGGATCCTTATTATGGATGGGATGACCATCAACCATATAGTGAGTATTGACCATGGCTCATGTGGCAACTCCAAGCGGGGGACTAGTGTATAGTACCAAAACAACATTGCATGCATCAAAAAAGGCCTCCGCTATTCATCAATTCTTGCCTTCTTTGGCATTCACACACATATGCATATTATGTATCGATGGTAAGCATTCAACCCGCAAAACCAATTTCCTCTAAATACCATTCTATGTAGTGTACGTACCATCCTGTTGCCGTTTCATTTACATATATATATATAATATAATCATTTACATACATATAATATCATATAATCATATATATATATATAATGTGGCAAACCCAAAAAATAAACCATCATCCCCCAAATCACCGTCAATGGGTGGTATTAAGCTTTTTCCAAATGCTAGGTTTATGGTTGGGTTTACTACAGTTTTGCCACAGTTTTGCCTCATCGTTTCCCAATGGGATCATCAGGTGCGCGAGAGCGAAAAAGCCAGAACCACGGAGGAGGTTCAGCTGGATTGGCGAGACGAAGTCATGACTGAAAACAAAAAAGTTGCATGGATGTAAGGTGTTGATTCATCATGATTCATCCCCATTCGTGATTCGTGAAACCCTAAAGAGCCCGAACTTTGAGTTTTCTTACGCACTTTTTTAGAAATTGAATGAAATTGAATGGAAGTTTAGGATGTTAGGATTCAGGATTTGGGATGGCTTGGGATGATTCCTACTGGACGCCAGGTTCGTGGCTGCACCTTCCAGCCCAACCTGTCCAAGAGCGTCAAAAGGCCGGGGACATCGCGGTGTTGAACGCTCGGCAAAATGATGAGCAAGATGACCTCAATATGACATCAACATGACCAATTCATACCTTAGTTATCCCTAATTATTGATCCAATTATGACTATAGTGACTATAGTATACTATGGCATGACTTTGTGGTGAATGATCACGATCATGATCATGAGATTTATCAGCATCAGCTGCCATGCCAGTTATACCAAAGCTTCTGAAGCGCCCACGAAGGCTGGGAACTGAGCACAGCTCTGCACGGGGTTACTGGTGGTGTCCACTGGGAATCGGAACGGGGACAGTCGCATTTCTTGAAATCATGCAAGGCCAAGGCCAAGTATGGTCCCTTCAAGAGTCCCATTTTCGCGCCGAATGCGTGTGATATTGGCACAGTTCTGCCCTATGTTATCTACAAAACAGGGGGTGCCAAAATCCCAAATAGCCCATGATACTCCATAGCAAAGGACGGTGCGTTTTCTGTTGAGTTTGCATCCCCATGGGTGAATGACCCCAACGACTTTCACCACTGGGACAGACACTGGGACACTGCGGGTTGCCCATGCCCCTGTGCCCACGGACCCAGGTACCCAAAGGCTTCTATGAGACTCGGCAGCGCATCCGAGCCGCCTATGAGGTGCGAGAAAAGGTCTTGCAACAGCGCGAGGACTGAAAGTAACGTCACTTTTCCACTGCCAAAGAGAAAATTGACATTTGGGGTGCCTGCAAAATCTTAAATTGACCACATACCATGCATTGCTGCTGAAAACATGATCTTGTTTGAGTTTCTTGCATGTTTGCTGCTAAAAAGGTCCCCCCAATGGGGGGTATAAATATGGTATAAATATGGTATAAATATGGTATAAATATGGTACGGTAATACTACATCTAAATATACGGATGTTTAAATAAACACACTGGTATTTTAGATTACCTCCGTGAAGGTTTTCCTTGGCCCGCCCGGCCATTTAAACATACATTTAAATGTACGGATAGAACTGGTGTTTCATACTACCTCCGGATCATTTTACCATCAATTTACCATCAATTTACCATCAATTTACCATAAATTTTACCATAAATTTACCATCAATCTACCATCATTTTACCATCATTTTACCATCAATTTACCATCAATTTACCATCAATTTACCATCAATTTACCATCAATTTACCATCAATTTACCATAAATTTACCATAAATTTACGATGAATTTAATAACCCCCCCCACTTATCAGAGACGCCCTGTTTTGGGCCCGGCAGGATCGAATGGCCCGGATCGAGGCCACGGTGCCGTACCGTACCGGTACGGGCAAGGCCGGGGAGATCCGGGGTTTGTGGTGTTATGGGCGACACTGAAAAGCCTGGGAATTGCTGGGAACCAATGACATATATATATATATATAAATTATAAGTTAAATAACTATTAATTCATACATAATTATATGTATATAATATAAATATATGATATATATATAATTATTATATATATATTATATATAATATATATAATATATATAATATGTATATATATATATATCAAACTGGGAATATAACATTGAATAAGAGGCATGTTTTTTCGACAATCACTGTACCATGATAAAAACCACACCTGGAAATTTTGGAGAGTCTTGGATATTCTATTTGGGGCACAGTTTCGCATCTTCTTTAATCTGTAACCATATTTGGGATGATCCAAATTGAGTCTTACTATAATTCATTAATATGTGGAATGGGTTGAAACTGCCAACCAGTTTATGATTAGTTTGGCAACAGTTTTATTTATGGTGTTTGTGTATTCAATGACTTGAGTGCTAGCTGCTAGTCCATACACAAAATTGAACTCAAAGCACAAAAGACCGGATCTCGTTGCCAATCCTGCTCTCATTAAATAGACAGGTGGCTCAAGCACCTTGAGAAACATGAACGCAACAGGTGGCTTCCGAAGCTTAAAAACAACTCAATGCCGAGACATGGGAGGCATTGGGAGGCTGATAGGATGAAAGTCAACACGAAATCGAAGTCTCGCAGCCTGGGAAACATTCTGCTCCAGATCTTAGCCGCTTAGCCATTGGATCCAACGGCCGAAAAGCTCAAATCATTTTGCCAGCCATGTCGACTCAAGTCTTAGAATGTGGTGGGGTCGTTACGTGCGACCCTCAGACTCTGTGGAAATCTATGGTGATTGTTGATGAGCGGTAGGATTTTGGGCTCTTTCTGCCGCTGCCTAGGAAAGATGATTATCAGCGGGAATAAAAGAAAACATGTCTCAGTTGATGTTGGATGATATAATATGATATATAGCTGATTAGTTAAATAGTAAATACATAAATAAACAATTCATAAATAAATAAATATATATATATATTGACTAACTATAGCTGAGTATCTCTTTTTTTGCAGTTCGTCAATGACATCCCCGGACGCTGAGTTTGTCGGTTTCTTGTGAGGTATCAGATCCTTTGCGGCAGAGAGATTGCCACAAAGGATCGCTTTGCCACACAGATGGCGAACTACTGCTACTTGGCCGGGGCCCTATTAGTGGATCCAAACCATAGATGTCCCAAATTCCCATTGGTTGGTTGCTTAATAGAGGGGTTTGTTTATCCCTTTAACAGGTACATGATGATAGATGGTATACCAGCTCCCGGCCCCTCTATTTTTATCCAAACTGGTGATGTTCTCAGCTGCCAGCTGGGTCAAAACCGAAATGGTGAGGCGAAAAGAAGAGAAATGCCGAGCCTGACAACAATTTTCATCAAATGCATCCAAATATATCCAAATTCAACATATATGTGCCATGGTCAAACGTTAGATGATGTTAATTTGTTTCCCGTATTGGGAGGGGGTGGTCATCAATTCATCAATAGGACTTTATATACCCTCTATAAGGATTCCAACCATGGTGATGGATCAAAATTTCCGGCCCGGCGATAGATGGATTGGTCATCTTGGGTGCAGCCCATTTGGATCCACATGTTGTTTTGAGGTCGGACAGGACCACTGGGGTATTTTCGGGAAACTAACATTTTTTCATATTTTTTCCACCCATGGAACCTCAAAACATGGTGTTTCAATGTTTTTGCCATGTTGGTATATCATTTTATATACCATATCATATACCCATTATATTAATACCCATGTACATACATCAGTGGCCATTCCAGGATCCTAAATTGGAGGTACCTACTATATATAAGGCCTATATAAGGCCTATGTAAGGGAATATCCCCACAAAATATGGCCTTATATGGTACAGTACCTCCATTTTAGGATCCTGAAATTCCCATTCAATACAATTATCATTGAATTCTTCATGTTTTTTTTTATGGCTTCCGTTGTGGTTCCATTTAAAGATGCTTCTGCTGGAGCACTGGAGCAGAAAACCCCCGACAGCTGGATCCTTGGCGACTTGCCAAGGTGGTGAACACGTTGGATAAAACCGCCATCGCCATAGATGCTGCCTGGGATGTGCAAGGTGCCGAATGGCGATGGGATGCTGCCTGGGTCTTTAACGGTGCTAAAATATGCCTAAAATATGGAGCCTAGGCCTAGTGTGACTGGGATGATGAAAATGTGATGTTTTTGGATTGGAGAAGACATTTTTTGCATGATTCAACATCAACTAAGCATCTAATCTTATGGAATGGATCGTTATATCATGTCATATCGAGATATATCATGATATATCATGAGATATTGGGACCCAAGGGAACTATTGAGCACTTATTCAAAAATGACTGGCGATTGAAAGAGTTCATCCATTCCTCGTGCCCTTTGGAAACCAAAATTGTTATTGGAGAATGGGAACAGTATCAGTTCTCACCGGATGGTTACACACCTGAAGACTAAGAACTCAAGAATTCCCATTTCTTAAAGTCCATTTCCAGTATTTATATGTATATTTTTATATAATATAGAATCAATTCTCATCACAGATTTGTTTGTGTAGAAAATCACGTGACTTTCAAATGATCGTAAATAGTGATGTCCATTTATTGGAGTCGCTGGTGGAAACTTGGGATTTCCCCAGGCTACTAGCAGTGCTGACACTTTGCATCACAGGTTTGTACGACTTGGCCAGCGAGCTGGGCGTGAAGATTGTGGGATGTGACAGGGAACTCAGAGGCCGCGACCAGTCGCCCCATGAATCATGGTTGGTATATGGTGATATAATGTGATATATAATGATATATATATATATATATACGTTGATGTACGAACTAAATGGGGAAGCATCCCAATAAATCGATGGTCATCGCTCATTTCAAGCGCTGCAGTTGCTGCGTACGTATAGTAATTTGCCCAGATTCAGTGCCATGGCAATGGAAGAGCCTTCGGTTCATGGTTGAGAGCAGATCATCACTTCCATTTCTTTTCTGCAGTTCCAACTGGAGCTTCAGAAGCCCCTGAAGACCCCAGTGACGACACTCTGAAGCCTGAACTTACCTGGACAAACGCTATGGATTAGACACAGTGTCACAGTTCGGTCATTTTTAGCGCTTTTTGTATGAATATATGAAATATATGATACTGATTTATATGTCTCATATATATATATATACACACACATATATATATATGGTACAGTGTGTATTTTCATAGCCAGTGTACACAGTTTTTTATCGCCAGCGGACGCCATCAGATCTGAGGTCTACACGCACTTCCATTTTGATCACTGCGGTGGAGACGTACACCCCATGCCCCATGACTCGGGCCCTGGATGGAAATGGATGGCTGGCCCCAAAAAAACGTCCGGATCGAACGGAGGAACGGAGACGTGCTTGGTAAATCCTGGTTGCCATGTAAAAATATGATATTTATGGTCAAGACAAGGGGAAACATCATGAAACATCCCCAATATGCATTCAATATGCCTTGTTTTATCTTGTTTCATCTTATTGCTGGTTTGTGAATCGCAGTAATTTGCGCAGTTCTGAATGTAACTGGTATGTTCCTCTGATATCCTCTGATGGGATATCTGTGGATTATAGTAGCTACGGTTTAATAAGCAGGGTGTATAACTCTATATGTGCTTTCGAACCTGAGTCAGAGGTTCTGAGCGCTTCGTTCTGCATGGCAAGAATGAAACACGAACGGCACAATTTGATCGTTTCACAAGTTTCAGGAATTCTGAGTGTGCAATAGTGTGCACCATTCAATGTTCTGGATAGACTCAATGATTCTTTGATATTGCTATATATTGCTATGGAAGGATGTGGGATCTGAGAGAATTTGACACTCGAAATCACTCGAAATCCATTGGATTTCCGACATGCCGAGGTTCACCGGTGGACAGAAGGCGGCAACGCTTTTTCGTCCTTCAGCTTCGACTCGGTCTAGACGTCCATCCTTGTGATGGTCTGGGGATTTTCCAACGTGGACATTTTGTTGATCAAAATCAAAGATACCCTCTGGTAAATTAACATAGACCCTGAAAATAGCCTAGTTTTAATGGAAACTAATCTTCCACCCCTATCTGCCAGGGTCTACCGTAGGTTTACCATAGGTTTACCAGTGGTTAACCATAGATTTACCATAGATTTACCCTCTGGTTATGTCAAAATAGCTATTGAAAATGGCCATTAATAGTGGATTTTCCCATTAAAAATGGTGATTGTCCATAGCTATGTTAGTTTACCAGAGGGTAGATGATAGATAGATATATGATACTGTAGATGAAAGATGATGAAATATGATGACATATGATGAAATATGATGAACATATGATGAACTGCGATGAACACTCGATGAAACTATGATGAAAATGATGAAATATGATGAACATATGATGAACTATGATGAACATATGATGAAATATGATGAACCTATAATGAACAATGATGAAACTATGATGTCATATGATGAACCTATGATGAAATATGATGAAGACATGATGAACTATGATAAACATATGATGAACGACGATGAACATATGATGAACAATGATGGAAAATTATGAAATATGATGAAGATAGAATGAACAATGATGAACATATGATGAAATATGATTATCATATGATGAAACATGATGAACATATGATGAACAATGAGGAAACCATGATGAACAACGGTGAAACTATGATGAACAATGATGAACATATGATATACAATGATGAACACATGATGAACAATGATGAAACTATCATGCACAGTGATAAACAAATTATGAACAATGATGAACATATGATATACAATGATGAACATATGATGGTCAACATGGTTCCCCATAGGAGCTGGAGGCTCCATCGGAGGCATTGGTGCCGGCCTGCAGGTGAACCTGCCTGGGGCCAAAGAGGTGGAAGCCGCAGGTGGAAAGATCTGGGCCGGCAAGGCCTGCGGTCGGTGCTTGGAGAAAGGATGAACAAAAATTGGGTGGTCGGTGCCAGTGGAAAGCAGCACTTTAGAGAGGGTAGTATATTATATCATGATGTATTAATGTGTATAATATATATATATATATGAATTTAGATTATAAGTCATAAAGGCCAGTGTTGTTGGGTCGGAAGTCGCTCGACGGGATGAAATGAAGAGATCTTCGTTCAGCGGCACGGCATCCCTTTCGCAGTCGACGCAGGAAGATGCCGAGGAAATCAAGAAGCAGTGCCATTTGGACGAGGCTTTGTTCTGATATCCAATGGTTTTGTTATCCAATGGTTATGATATCCAATGGTTATGATATCCAATGGTTATGATATCCAATGGTTATGATATATCCAGTGATATCCAGTGATATCCCCATGTTGCTGAAGTGACCGGCTTTGTATTCCAATGGCGGAACCAGCCACAATTCCAATGGTTTAGAAGCAGCGAATGTTCCCCGTGAAATGCCATAAATTGGGATCCCTCATTTCTGGACAAACCCGTTGTGCATTGGGGGTTTCGTTTACGGGATGGATGAGCATACCTCAGATACCATGTTATGCTCAAGATTGGCACGTATTTACTATGTTGTTTCACTACTAACATATATATATATATACATACAATTATATACATATGTATTTTATATTAGATATTACATATATATTTAATATTGAACATATATATATAATATTGAACATATATATAATATTGAACCTATTGAACATATATTATAATATATTATATATAATTAATATATTCATATATTAATATTTACATATTATATGTATAATATTATATTTATTTAATATCATGTATATATTAAATATTATATATATCATAAATATCTCATGGATTGTGTTTATGTATATATATATATATATTTGTATCATTCATTCCCATTACATCCGGGGCAAATCACAAACCGGCTCATGGTTTGTTACCGGTGGCAGGTGGTGCCGATGAGAGATGGCGATGCCTGCTGGCCCAGCACCGACTGTCCTGGAATGATTTTTTTTACAGTAGGTGAAAGAGGGAAATCACCATTACCCATACAAGGTGGTGCCCCATAGTTAGCTAAGTTGGTTTATAACTCCCATAACTGTGGTTTATGGTAGATATAACTATAGTTTTCATGGGGTTTATAAACCAGCTTATAACTGGGGGGCACCACCTTGTAGGATCCATGTATGCTATATATGGTAACATTTACCATCAATATACCCCAGTCATGTTAGCATATATACCAGCACCATGGATCCGTCATGGGTTATAGTGGTTTAAAATAGTGATTTAATGGTTGTTGTCCGAAAAATATTATGGTGGTTTAACAATGGTTTCACTAATAATTCACTGATTATAACTGATATGTACTAACCTGAAACAATACGTGAAATAATAGTGAAGTTAGTACCATCCATTATTTCAGGTTAGTTACACCGTTACACTGTTTCTCCCATTGTTTTTTTCCCTAGGGCCGCAAGTTTCAGTGACATTAATTGTCAATACTTATGATTTACAGTACCCAGACATGTTGTGGTTTTTGACCTCGCAGAAACATACAATGAACCACACCTAAATTGTACCACATCTGTCTTTTTGTACGTAATAAAGGTGGTTGTTGTCATTGAATTTTCCACGATACACACATGCCATGTGTCGCATGTCAATGTTTGGCGTCAACACCCAGGGCATCATCCATTGACCTATGACCCACCTAATGACTTATATAGTTGTTTTTTTTCAGTTACAACAGTTTCATGACATTTAAATACATTTAAACACATTCAAGTGGACCATAGACAAACAATGAATTTATGTACTGTATGCTGTATGTATATATATATAGGGATAAACCACACATATATATATAAACACATATAAACACCATCAATACACAAGTGGATAGAACTCATTCACGATAGAAACTGATGTTCAAACCATTCAAATATAGACCATTTACATCCATTTACACGCTATGAAGCCTGGATATAAGCCATATATATCAATGGGAATTTCAGGATCCTAAATTGGAGGTACCTACCATATATAAGGCCTATGTAAGGCCTATGTAAGGGAATATCCCCACAAAATATGGCCTTATATGGTACAGTACCTCCAATTTAGGATCCTGAAATGGCCATTGAATATATGCCATATCGATTCAAAGATTTTCCAGGTGCTTCCCTGCGGAGACCTGGTGCTTCACATCATTCGAACTCCTGGTCACACCCCAGGCCGACTTCGGAGGGATCTGATGGACAGTCATCCCGGCGTATAATCTGTATTTCATGATGTGGCATTTATCCGCATCTAATACCTATAGATAAAAAGATATACGTATATATATATATATTGATATATATATATATACATATTGATATACATATATATATATATATATATATATATTGATATATATATATATATTGATATATCTTGATATGATGAGAAGGGATCCTTTCACCCACCCCGCCAGCTAGATGGTTCCCTCCCCCTGTGGCCGCCACGGGGTGTCCCAAGAACAACTCGTTCATGGGCAGTATTTGTGCAGCTGTAAGTGGTTGAGGTCCAGTTTGTAATATACGTATACTATACAGTATATGGGCACGCTATTCAATAAGTCGTATATATGTATGCGATGAAACATGTGTAGGTAGCATGTGTAGGGAGTAAGGAATGTATCGGTAGTGGATGGTAGTGGTGAAGCAATGTATATACTACACATAGGTATATGATGTTAGTTGGGGATTTATGTTTAGGTAGTGTATATATATAATATTATACAATGATATAATTATATATATACAGACATATGTATATTATATCATTACATATATATATATCATTACACACATATATCTACACATATCTTTATATATGTATATGTGCAATGATTCATGAGACATATATATGTATATATATATGTAATGATACATACAATATATATATATATATATATACATGTATTATATATATATGCCTGCGGACCGAAAACCGTTCCCGTAAAACGCACGTTTTTGAATATCGCGATTGTGGGGTGGGGTGGGGGGGGCATGTTAACGTTCCTTGTGCTTCGTACATGAAATATTGCTACGCTGCTGAGATCTCCGGGATCGTTTACTACGTTACATGTTGCTACGCTGCTGAAAGTGGAATCTGATGAAAAAGTCAATTCCCAGCAACTTGAGTGCCAAAAGTGACCTCTTGATGGTGTATGCTAGAGCTTGGCAATGGAGATGCATTCACAAGAATGCTGACTGCCAGCTGATAACGGTGCATGCGTTGCAGCGATGACGCTGAAAAGCCAAAAAACACGCCCCAAGTTTTTCCAGGATTTCCAATCATCAAATCAGCACGGCACTGTGGTAAAATCACCATTAAAAAAAAAACGCGCGTTTTATGGGAACGGTTTCCGGTCCGGCGGGATATATATATGTATGATTGTATTTGTAGGTACATACTGCATCCAAACATATGTTACATAGGGATATTCAAACAAGAAATTTTCGACATGGTGCCAAGGGCGCCCGTGTCATGGCCAGGCTCAATCTGCGTGTTTGCTGCCCCGCGTTCTTTGTCACCTCGAGTAGAGTTCCTTGGATGGTGGCCTGCTGCCAAAAAAAAGGGGCCTCCAAGTCAAAGAATCTAGTTGGACTTTTGCATACAGTGGGCAAAGCCGTTCATCACATGCCATAATTTTGGGTTTTCTTCTGGGTCTGCTTGGGTAAATTTTGAACACAGCTCAATATTTGATGCTAGAAACAGGTAAAAAGCATTAAAAAACATGGATTTCTCCCAAAAAAAAAACATGGATCATGGCTTTCTTATTGATTTGCCATATTTTTTTCCATGATTTTCCTCTAGAATTTTCCTTGAACCACTCCACGGCTGAGGATGGGCAAGTCTCCCTTCAAGGAGGCCAGAACCAAAGCAGGGGCAGCGTTGGGTTCCAGCAGCCATGGCGCATGGCTATGGATTCACACAGATAAGTTATACCTATGTATCTATATTAGCCTCTGGTAAATTAACATAAACCCTGGCAGATAGGGGTTGGAAGACTAGTTTCCATTAAAAATTGGTGATTTGCAGGGTCTATGTTTATTTACCATAGGGTATAAAATAATATATATATATAAGAAGTAAACAGGATGTTTGGACAATTCTCAACAGATCGATGAGTTGTTTTTTTTTGGCATGATTTTGTTGAGCCATTGGGTTCCAGTATAGAAACCAGGGATTTCGCATTTGGATCTTGATTTTCGGCTGTCCAAGGAACCGATCATTATCAAACGATTTTTTCCTTGGGTTTGTCTATTATTATCTATTATATATCCATTATCAATGTAATAGTATCGATATATAATCTAACTATCTATTATCTATTGTAAAGATAATATCATAGGATAATTGATAACACCTAATAGTACACTCAATAATATCTATTATCATTAGGTGTAATCGCTGCCGCCCAGGCAGGACTTCTCATCACCGGTGACACTTTGTTCGTGGGCTCCTGTGGCCGCACCGATCTCCCAGGCGCCGTTGGGAGGTCACCAAAAATGTGGGGACTTCATGGGATTTTAATGGGAGTTGACATGATTTTCTTGGATTTTTTGCGGAATTCTAATAGAATTTAATCCATGGTAAACATGGTAAGTCAGGGATAAATTGTGAATACATTGGGGATATTTGTTGGATTATGGTTCTATTTTATTTTGGAATAGTTTTCATGTATAATTATTGATGGGAGACATAAATTATATAGCAGCATGATGTTTTTGTTGGTCCATAAATGGGGGCGGTATCATAAAGTGACCATTTCATGCAATTTAAGCATGCGGAACAGGATGATTCCCGTATTATAGGATGCTTAAGGGGGGGATGGAAGGGGGGGGATGAATATGTATCCCTAGCGCTGTTAGATCCATCCCTAATCCTTCATGTAAGGCTTACAAAGCATGTGGTTGTCACCTGAAATAAAAATTTTGCCATGGAATTGATTCTGATTTGCCCGAATAAACATTGATTCTGAATAAATCTGGATGAAGTATAATGACCTCACGTCGGTCACGTCACTGGAATGATGCTTAGAGTTCTGGGAATCATCCCCATGTTTTTTTTAACGCTACTTTCAGGTTGTTGAATCATTGTAATGACCAGTTCAATGAACATTACCCTCTGGTCATCAAACATGGCATGCTGAGAGATTTTCCCTCGAAGATGGTTACCACAAGGGTGAGGCCCGATGGCGAAGTAAATTTCTTGGTGAACTTATGGGGTTTTAATACGTTTTAATGGGGGATGTAACTTGAAATGTAACTCACTAAAATGGTTTTAATGGGGTTTAACGTAGCCATTTTCTTGTAACTCACTAACTAGTGATATGTAACTTGCAATGTAACTAATGGTTTCTTGGTTAATGGCTTTTCACAGCATCACTGGGGGCCATGATGAGTTCCCAAAAAATGCACAAAAAGCCAGGCTCTGATCCGCGTGATATGATGAGTTCACTGGCGAGGCCACTGCCCTAATCCAAACTCGCCAGCGCGTTTGGTCAATATCCTGTAGCTTAGTTGCCAGATTTCAGTGGCTTAACTATGGTTTATGGTAGATATAACGAACTAGTTAATTAATGGGGGTTATAATGGTTTATAAACCAACTTATAATTGGGGGGCCCCATCCTTTATTGAAATCTATTGAATATTGCTGGTCAATGCTGGTAAATTTCTCGGATTTTTATGAAGATGTTTCTCTGATTTGTTGGATTGAACCGCCTGATGTTTGCTAAAATTTGATTTCTGTTGCGCTTTTTAAGCCTGATCAAGTTGTGTTACTCCTCATTGAGGTTAAGCACCATGGACCCTGCGGTGGTTGTGTGTCCAGGCCTTTCATCCGATGTTTCAGGATTTTTGCTGGTTGGTGATGGCTTAAAACAGATTTAAATGGAGGTTTCCTAAGTCATTTTTGGTTTGTATTTTCCATTATACACCATCAATTTTGATCATTTTGGGGTACCCCCATTTTAGGAAACCTCCAAATAGATCCAAATAGGCTCTTCAGAAGGGTGAAGACACATGAAGACACATCTTCTGAGGATTCCTGGGGGGCTTATGGTAGATGAGTAGTTGAAACAGTTTTGATCTGCGAGTCTGGCTTCTGAAAGTCGTTTTTTTGGATCCCCAAGTTGCTTTCCGCTGAGCATCTATTCATAGCCAAGCAGTATCAAGCAGTGACATGTTACTGTGCCCTTGCTAGTTATATTAGTTATATATATATATGCAGGCGTTTGTTTGTTGTATCATGTTATATACCACTTCTGAATCCTTTTGCAATTATCCTCAAGTATATATATACACAACTATATACATTATATTACATTACATATTATTGATATAGAACGGTACAAGGATATTTTCTATCCTTTCCAGGATGCTAATCCTAACGATGCGCCTGGGATGCTGTGAGGCCACAATTACGCTATGGAGCCCTTCTCAACCATTGGGGCCGAGCGGGTTGGGCCCCCTGATGGGAAAGTCCACAGAAAATCCCGCTGGGTTCGGTCATTTCTCCGGTATGTTTTGGATTGCCAATGCTGAGTCATTCGACCTCGAGGGTGGTATCACCGGAAAAACCGATAAAAACTTCATGGCACTTCCAGACTCTTCCAGTGACCCTGAGATCGAGGCCCAAAACGAGATGGTAAAGATGGGCCTTTCACATTTTCCAAAGCCGTCAGAGGCCCAGGTGGCCCAGGTGGCACAGGTCGCCCAGGTGGGTCAGGGGAATGGCCCAGCTCGTGGGTCGGTGAACCCAGGCTACCTGTACCTCCTTGTGCCATGTCGGGGGCTCGGCGAAACGCATGATCAATGGGAATTTCAGAACCCTAAATCAGAGAAAAATTAGAGATACTGTACAGTATTGTACCATAGAAATCCCAACCAACCAGTGACTGCGTGCAGATCTTGCAGGTGTGGTACTGGCCTGCCCTGTGGGCCGAAGGGATTCAGGATCGGTCGAAAGGCACGGATTGTGAAGCTAACGTCTGAGCAGGGACAGGCCGGGGAATTTGTTTGTTGCGTCTGTGCGTGACACTGTCACTGTGTGTGTGGTTCTTTCTTCACTTTCTTCCTTTCTTCTTGGCCCTCTCTTGATCAGCGTACAACAGTTCGACATTATCAACATTAAGCAGCACAAAAGTGCCATGGTCAAAACATGGTTTACTTCCCCATAAAAGGGAATGATTGTACCCGCAGTGGTAAGGTCTCTTTTTACCGATGATATCGCATTGTACGGAATCCTCGATGGTGAGATGACCATACCCCATATACCATGTGTTGACCATCGATAACCATTGCATGATGGTTTCTGAAGGCAGCGACATTGGCAGTTTTGACCAATATCTCCTTGGTTCGCTTCCTCTTCGCAAGGCCATCAACGGTCAAGACTGTGTCATTGAGAGCTACGCACCTTGGCACCCACCGAATATGAAAGATGAAGCACTGGAACGACATCTTTGGGAAGTGGGTCGCATAGTAACTTGGAGGTTTCCTGAAATGGGAGTGAGAAGCTGCAAATCAATCCAAATCATCCAAATTTGCATAGGATGTTCGATTCTAAATCCAGCTATTGGGGTACCCCCAGCCATGAGGAAACCCCCAGCCATTGGTCATGGAGTCAAGACCCACCTCCTGTCTCAGATGGAAGACCGAGAGCGCTATGCCGTCCGGCCGGATCCTCAGATGTTCCATCGACCTCAAAGGAAGCCATGAATATCAATGGTTGGAAGATGTTGGAAGATGTTGGAAGATGTTGGAACCATAAAATAAAAACATTTATCGATAAATAATGATAAATATAGATCGCATGGCCCTAGACCAGGAATTCTTTCTTTCTTTGTTTTGGCTGTTTTTGATGAATCGACTCAGATTGCAACTCTGGCCGCTCCCAACTCGATTTGCTGAGGATGATCAATGCATCAGCCGTGAAAGTTCTGAAACCGGAGCGATGGGTGGGAAATTTGCGATTCTTGCTGCTCAAGTCTTGTGAATTGAATTGAATTGAACTCAGAATCGTTTAGTGCTTTCGCAAATTCAATCATCTTCATCAATCTTCGCAATATTTTTCGAGTTGACCACCACTAGCATTACCATCCACTTGAGGAATGTTCCAGCTGGCATTGATGGAGTTTTGCTCGCAAACTCACAGGAGAACCTGGAAAAGCCTGAAAAGGACGCGACTGAAGCCCCTGAAGCAACCTAGTCGCGACTAGGATCGCCGGAGAATGTCATGGATTTTTTGATGGATCAATTGTCTGCAAAGTCAGGTCACGTGTAGAATATGGGGGTTGCACCCCATATAGGTCTGTCTGAAAACGGGGACACCTCAAAATGGCCATCGAATGGTAACAGTCAGAAGTAACGATCAGATTTTGGGGTAGCCTATTTTCAGCCAAACCCATATCGTAGAATGCTTCGTTAAGCAAGCTTTGTTAAGCAATGCGTCCCCCGCCTGCTGGGTTGGGAAAATGGTGCAAAATGGCCGTCCCCAAAACCAGGTTGACTGCAGTTCGCCCATGTTGTCCTCTGATTTGGCATACAGATGGCCTGAAATATGTTTGAACATTCCGTTCCTAAAAAATGGGATGATGATGATGATGATGATGATGAGGATGAGGGGTCAGCCAACCAGATATTCAAGGGGTCAGCCAACCTCCCCACCCAGTGCTCATGCGGTCACACTGCCAGTCTCCCACGCGTGGCCAATCTCCAACGGGTGGCCATACAAGGCCGGGTGCAAAGCCGGATGCGACGTGCGAGAGGTGAACTAGGAGATTTTAAACAGCAAAGATTGGGATTTCATGGGATTTCTATCGCAAGATATCGCAAGATTCAGGATTTGATCGGCACAAACGCTCTTATCATCAAAGATTTATTCAGATGGCAATCTAAGCGGGAGAAAAGAAATGAAAAGAAGATCTATAGGCATATCTAGGATCCCTAGGCAGCTAAAACTTCTGATTTCAACAAGCAATTTCTGATATCCAGGACATCCAGGACACATGGAGAGAGTAGCTTTGGTCCAACTCAGAGCCCCGCCCAACGCGGCCAACTACGCGTGTGAATTGCATCCCCGGAAAAGATCAACCCTGTGATCCTGATATTTGCTGTGAATTTATATTGTAGTCCTGGTTCTATGATGTTCTATGATGTTCTATGACGTTCTATGATGTATTTCATCTCCTTTGTGGATTTTTGGGTTGCTTGAAGCCAGAGGCCCAGGTCTGGCCCAAAGAGTGCGAGAGAAGGCAGGGCTCCAGGGCAAAAGCACCTGGATTTGATGGCAACCCCAAAAAGTGATGGTTTAAGACTAAACATGACAGAAAATGATCATAAATCATTAGTATTACATTTATATATAATATCATATAATTATATATATATATACATACACACATGTCATTATATAGCAATGATTAGCCAATTTGTGTGGCTGGGTACTCCAATTTTTGATCAAAAGCCAACTGGGAGTTGACTGGGAAGCAATGTATGAGCACAGAAGTTCAAGACCAAACATAGCAGGAGGACAACCCCAAACATAGGAGGTCAACCTGCAAAACGCAAAAAAATGTGTTTGTTTCTGTTTATGGCTCTACCATCTATTGTGGGATTTCCTGTACAAGGATCTACCGGAATCTCAAGTAACATGAGCCAGCTTTCGTTGCTCCCCCGCCGTTGCCTTTTGGATCCTTTGGGGGGGTCCATTTTGAAACGGCTGTGTCCCAATATGGATTACTGCGGGAAACCGAATAATAAACCTATACCACTTGGGAATGGTTTACCCACAAAAATGGTGATTTTGGGGATGGTTTATTCTTGGGTTTACCAAATGATATCCCCCCAAAATGGCAACTTTGCAGGAGAAAGTCATCGTCAAAGCCTTTCACCACCTCGGCCAGGTCGACGTTTAAGTTCTCCCCCTCCGCGTAGCCACCCTCCAGAGGAGGCAAAGGTGTGCCCCGAGACCTTTGTTTCGAGATCGGTCAGGGTGGATCTGGGCCAACTCCAACTGCACCCGAAGTGATGCTTTTCATTGATTTTCAATGATAAAATTGATAAAGGTCAACATGGTAAAACATGGTGTTTTACCATCCCACAAGTAAAACATCTGATATAATCCTCATTGGATGGCTGCATGATGGATGCATAGATACTTCCGCCCTGAGACGGACATCCAATGTATCAACCCATTCCCAGTCGTATCTTTTGGACGCTAAATTCTGTGAATTTGCAAGAGTGAAACTGAGGTCTGGTGTCCCATATATGGTTGTTTGTTTTAAAGGATTCAGCTTAAGATTTTTGAATGGGGCAATCAAACTTGAGGTACACCCAACAAGGGGATGTTCATACCAATCAACGCCAAAATTATGGCTTCGGAATTCTTCAGTTTTGACCACAACATTTCACATGGATTCGCATAGATCAATTGGCCCTTCATTCCCAGAGTAGCAGGAAAATTGTCAGGAAACCCTTGCATTTGGGATTTTGGGGGCAAAGACCCAAGGGGTTTCGGTGGGTTTCCTGTAGACTTCATCCTTCAACCAATGGTCGTTCATCCAGATGTCAACAGAAACAATGGAAGGACTCAGTGGCTCGCGGTGCTGAAGGCAGCCGGCCACCGGATGACATGGTAAAAGCGAATTAACAGCTGTTGTTTGTTGGTCAAAACACCAAACAAGTGGACTTATGTGGACTTGAAAGCTCTGGATGTCAAACACACTCAAGTCAACACTCAAGCCAATCATCTGGTTGGTGGTTTGGAACATGGCTTTTATTTTCCATAATATACGGGATAATCCTTCCCATTGACTAATATTGTTCAGAGGGGTTGAAACCACCAACCAGTCATCTAGAATCAATGATCATTAGGGAATTGTTCATAGACCTGACCTGTAATGATCATTATCGGTGATTGAAATCTCTATTGATCCATCGGCACATGCACATGGCTCATTATGGCTCCAGATTCACCTGCAGAGTTAGAGATGGCTTTTCCGATGGTTTTCCAATACTCTATGGACTTTTTATGCAAAATGATGTTTGTTTCTCTTGGGCTTCCATGGGCACTCATCCTACATAGATACTGATTGAACATGATTGAACATGATTGAACAATAACCTTCGTTCTAACCTCATTTGAACAACGGTGTGACAGCTATATACAGGAGATCCCAAGAAGCCAGACAAGAAACAGATTTCCATCATAACATTTGGGATGCAACTTGTCTATCTTTTTGGTGACCTTTTCAGCCTGTATCTGGGCCACAACTGTTATCCCCCAGAATGGATGGTGCCCACCTGTGGCAAGTGACAAGCCCATCCATTGGGGAATTCATGGCGGGCCACAACCGCCCATTTTTTTTCTCCAGGTTTCAATCATATCCGCATTGTTGGCTACATATCCCCATGATATCCCCATGATATCCCAATGATATCCCCATGATTCCACTCTTGATGGTTGTATCCCCTAATGTGCTTAGTTAAAACAATCATAAACCATCCCCCAGTCATATCCCCATGATCTCCCCCATGATTATAACTTGACCACACCCGAGCCACCCAGCGACGCGCTAGGGATGTCCTTGCGGAGCGAGGCGGTGTCCAGTGCTTACGAAGTGAGTCCTGCGCCAGGTGCAACGTGTCGAGGGATCATTGATACATCATGATATGTATATAACTATATTTATACTACATTACTATATATTACATTATATTACTATTACTTATTATAGTAACTAGTATCTGATGAACATCTAATATAGATATTTTTTGTATATATATATATATCTACATATTATGTACATAAATACATACATTGTTCCATTACACATGATATATAATCAACAATGATATGGTGCATGTATATATATATATATATACATACATAGCTAAATATATAGATGGTTAATTGTGTAGATGCTTGTTTGTCTGATCATATATAGCTTACAACAAGGAATATAGCTGATATCCAGTCCAATGCTTTTTTTGATAGCGATATGATATGTGATGGTAATGGGATTTTACGTGTCCCAGTTTGAAGACAGCCCCATTTCACTGTATACCGAGAAACCTCCCCTTGGATATGAGCAACTGGCTTCAAAAAGGGGACGAAACCTTACCGGGAGCTGGACAGCGCTATCTGATAGGTGAAAGTAAGGTGAACCCCAAATCTCCACAGGACGGGGCAGATTGGAGTGGGGTGGGGAGAGGATACATGTTTAAATACGTGTTTTTCTCGGTATGTTAATGTCATTTTGTGTCCATATCTATGTGGTGCTTCCATCGTCATCATCATCATCATCATCATGATTCCCAGCCTCGTCCTCATTCACTACTAGCAGCTTGTGGCTTCGCCTGTGAACCCTATATATAGATAAACAGGATTGACCGTACCGGCTTTTGGGCATTGTGCATTTGAGAGAAATAATGATTGCTGCTAATTCGATCGTGGACATCCCATGTTATCGGAAATAGAACTAAGGATAACCTGAAGAAATCTCAAAGATTCTGAAAACCACTGTGTAGTTCAACAAAATTACTCATGCGATGATTTGGAGTGATTTACTGTAAGCCTTTCCTAACATGAAAATGCGGGCTTTCCATAACCGTCAAGTAGCGCCGATTGAAGGCCGCCCGTCTGTACTCCATTCATGGGGTTTCTTCTGCTTTCTTCAGGAGACCGAGGAGGACAAACAGCCCGTGCTCTATGCAACTTGGCCAAAGAAAAATCGACTGAGTGATCTGCAGGTCAGAGAGGTCAAAAAATGCCAATATTTTATCCATGGATTTCCATGTGCAGCAACATCATCAACCCATATGAACCCAAGAAATGATGGAACCATGCCATGTTCATCCATTTTTCCAGATCCCCGAACCAGAACCCCATCCCCCAGCTTCTGCAGAGGTGGACGTCAATGTGACACCGGGGCAGGCTCCTGAGCGCATTGTGCTGTTCCAGGCCATTTAGACCGAAGGGACCTGGAAGATCTACTCACCTGGTCAATGGGAAACCATCAGTGATATCTAATGATGGGGGTTTCATGGGATTGAACCCTCCAAACTGGCGATTAAACCAACCATCATGGGATTTTTTCTGGGTAGAATGTTTTTTTCCCGCGAGCACATTATGTTAGACTACTAATAGTACCATAAAGGGTGTTTGAAATGGAAGAACATCTTTGGTGGTTGGTGTGCCATGGCAACTGATCATGGCATATCATGTGCCCTTTGCGTTCGCACCATCGGCCACGGTGCAGGGTCAGAACATCAGCGAAGTGGCCGCAGAGTTCAGTGCCAAGCACGTGCTGTCGCCTGCCATGGCGCAAAAACTCCATGGACTGCTGCGCGAGGCTGACATCGAAACAAACTGCTCGGAAAAGATGGGAAACCACAAAAAAACAAAAAGTACCGGTATATGATATGTATAGCCAATGTATAGCCTGTGTCTTCTTTTATGATATTATATTATATTATAATGTAGCAGTAGTTTATTCGTTATAGTATGTTTGTTATAACATTTTATTTGTTACAGTATACTGATTTTATTACATGTACCCTATATATATATACGTATATATATAATGTCAAGTCAGGATTAATCAACACCCCGTTATCAATCAACCTCATCCTCCCAAAAAAAAATTGCAATTTAAAAACAGGTGGTCCCCCAGGATTAATAAACCGTTTGGCTAGGACATGATTAATCAACCCCCTTTGCTGAAATCCATTTTTTATCCAACAATGGTTATGTCCAATTCTATGTATTTCCAATTGTTTTTTTACCATTTTTTTTTACCATCATTGTTATACTTAAGGTTTAAGTTGATCATTGAAAATTTCAAAAAACAACTATTCCCCAAATGATCGATTTCTAATTAAATTCTTTATAACAATCATCAGTTTGGATAGCTCCCAAAGGGTACCCCCCATGAGCCCATGTCCCCCACTAATAATAATAAGGGTTTGCCCCTGATTAATCAACCACCATGTCCCTAATGTTTTTTCTTTGGATTTGCCTATTCATTCCCAATGTCCCCCATAGCTTTCAGCCAATTGACGTAAGCCATATCCAAAAATTTATGGTTCAGAAGCCGTTGATTAAGGGGTGCTTAAGGGGGGACCTACAAAGTAGAGTTCTGACCTTCTGGGGGGGGTTATTAATCCGGTGTTGGCATTATATATATATATAATATATATATATATATTGATATAGTTTCTGTTTTTGATGTACATGTTATTTGTTTCCCTACATTTCTCTACACAAATGTGTGCTGCAAGGCAACGCGACTTGTTTCCATAATCTCTGCAAAACAGTTACCGTCCGTGCATTGTGCGCTCAGCTTCAGCCTGCGCGGTGCAAACATAGGCAAAATAATGAACGTAGTGGATCTGCTGAATCGGGAAGTTTTCATTTATCCATTTGCTAACTCTGAAAATTAATATCTATAATATCTTGTACTGTACAAGTTCGGAATCCTGGGTAGACCAAAAATGCACCAGATCCTCATCAAAACATGGTGGAAAACAGAAATTGTTCCCGGCTTATAGCGATCGAAGATGGACGGAAGACCAGCAGTTGGTATCAGAGGATTCGGTGGTCAAAGCTAATTCTTGGTCAAAATATAGCTTAAGGCCACGGGGGAAGAACATATTTGGAATGGTTCTGATTTGTTGGTATCAATCCAACTTTTTGGGGAACCCATGTCCCCTATGCCCCAACACTTGGATGCCAAACCCGTTAGAAGTTGCCATTTTGGAGGTCCACCAAATACGAATCAAATTCAAGATAATGTGTATTGCAAAACTGTCACAAATAAGTTTTTGAGTGTGTCCACCAGCATTATTTCTAGATTATCTTCTGTTTGGTCTGTAAATCGAATTTGTCTGGTTGTTGCAAAAAAAATGTCCCCGCTCTGGTTTCCGGTTGGTGATGTTGGTCTCCCCTGAAACCCGTTTTATTTTCTATTTGAAATGTTCCGGAGGTGCCCCAACTATACAATTCAAACAGAAGTTGAATTTCCTGAATATCTTCTGTCTCAGTAGTATGTATATTACATAATATATATATATATACATGCATATATATATATATATACATGCATATATATATATATATACATGCATATATATATACATGCATATATATATATACATGCATATATATATATTTATACATATATATATATATAATATATAGTATAATATATATTTCATAGTCCATCCTGTTCGTTGAGATGCTAATCCAAATTGACCAAGATTCTTGGGATGGATTGACACCACCAACCAGAAACCACTTTTTTTGCATCATTTTCCGCAGGTGGTGCTGAAACAGGAACTGCAGAACCACATGAAGTGATGGGCGAGGTGGTGCTTCCTGGGCCGTTGGGGATTGTGATTCATATGCACCGTCTATCAGCCACGATGAAACGCCCAAGATAGGTTGGGGCCCTGGGGGTCCAGGAGGACACGCCGCCCCGCTCAAATCACGCGCTGATGGGTTTCACTGATAACTTTACGCGGAATTGGCAGTTTGTGAAACTGTCGCGTAGGCTCATCATGGCAACACCATGTCCTCCACAAAGGGGAGCCTGGAAAGACAGAGAGTTACTCTGGCAAGTTCATATCTTCCATGTTTTCGGTGAACCACCACACCACAAGGATCTTTGTGACAACAACTCACGGCCGAGCTGTCTTTCTGGAGCTCTCCAATGCCAATGCCTGTCCGGTGCTCTCAAAACCAGCCAGTTGTGGGCCTGTTCCAAGCCATCTTGTTGAGTGAAATATGAGCAACACGAAATCGAAAAACACATCAGACTTCCACTTGTTTCCACTATATTTGGATGGTCAAATAGTGGTCAAACCCTTCCCGAGGTTTTCCCAGCAGGCCATGCCCACCAAACTGGTGCTGGCTTTCGGCGTTCTCCGATTTGCACAGCGGGTGTTTTTTTCAAGGATGCACAGGTGCTGTGCAAGTGGATCAAGCAAAAAGTAGGATAAGTCCTGGTGGAAGGGGCCCTGGTCTCAGCGACATCTGGCTATTGAAAACTACATCTGGCTGGCATTGAAGCCATCTGACCCTAATGAGGGTATAACGCTGGTTACATTGAAATTCCATATTTGACTGGACCTGGAGCTGTGAGATTTTTGGGTTGCAACTGCTGCAACGAAACGACGTTTCAAGAACGAAGTCTTAGAAAGGTCAAATCTGGTAGACTCAAGTAGACTCTGATGTGTTCCACATAGACTCAACTGCAGATATCCTGCTGTGCAAAACTCGGAGCTCAACAAGCAGAAACGTTCTCAAGACAAAAATGGCGCTTGGGTCCTTCGATGAGTCAAAACTCTGAGGCCTGACCAGAAATTTCCGAAATCTCCGTATCATTTGAATGGGTCTAAATAGGGAATCCCCAAATATTCACTGGTTAATATCATCATTTTTAATGATTTTCAATCATAGTCCTTATTAAGAGTTATTCAAATGACCAGGCCCGGGGGTGTTTTTCCGGTGTATCCCGATTTAAGGTCCATACATGTCCACACCCAAATCAGCACAGGATACCTCTGCATCCTTTCGGCTTGAGCGCTTGAGCCATTGATCAATCTCGTGGCAGGTGTGATTTGACCCGAATTTGCAGTTGGGTCGAGTTTGACTCCACAAGTTTGCAAGTGAAAGACCTGTCCAAAGATGACAATTCCGCTGGAAGTTGGTGATTTGTCGGGACATGTGTAATTACACACCTATGTTCTAGAGGTTATCATCACCCTTTATCAAGCATGTATAATCCCTTCCAAAGCTTTCATTCTCAACCATCCAACTGTAGCACAATGAATCCTAGTTGGCACAGACTACAATCCAGCTTACTTGTCACAAGTAGGTTGTTTGCAGTGGCTCAAGCCAATGATGTGGGTTTGTTCGAACATAGTGTACCCTCTAAATCCACTGGTTTCTCATCAAGTTCCCTATTCAAACGGCCATAAATTGGGCGTGAACCCCCATTTTCAGACAATTCCCAATATGCCCAAATATATCCAAATATATCCAAATATCATAAATTGCTGCTTGTATATTCCATATTCCATTTTATTCCGCAAGCCACATTCTAGCCCCATTTCGATCCACCAGAAACCCATCATCACTTGAGACCTCGGCGCCAATGGCGCTGTCCCACCATGGGCGCTGTTCTGCGCGTGTGCCCCACCCGCCAGGCAGGGAAGACCATGGTTTCGCTAACAATGGGAAACAGGGTCATTAACCATCAAGCTTTTTGGGTGAATGGATGTGAATGGTTTATGATTTTGGTCATTAACCATAAGCTAACATGGTGACTAAACATGGGTTATTAATATTTTATTACTAATGGTTTAACATTTTGGACTATATAATAATTAGCCATATTTTATTACTTAATATCCATTATCATCCAATGTTCAGAAAAATCACACCAAACTCATGATTTTTGGATGTCCAAGGATCGGACCATGTCCCCTAGCCTCCAAAACAACCGCCAGCCTGCGAGCCGCGCACGCGTGGCCTCGCGCATCAACGAGCCACGCAGTCCCAACGCAGTGATGCGCCAGGCGGGGGACGATCTTTCACCGGATCCAGTTGGATGTTTTACCCTCTGGTAAACTAACAGTTTGCTATTGAAAATGACCATAGAAATAGTGGATTTTCCCATGAAAAATGGTGATTTTCCATAGTTATGTAAACGTTTACCAGAGGGTATCTGTGAATCCCATGAGAATCCCATGAGAATCCCATGAGAATCCCAGGATTTATATAGGACCAGTGTTGAAAAATGTGTTTCACCAACTGGGGATGGCTTGTCCATCCACAGTGCTTCCTTTGGGAATGAGCATCCATAGATCCCAGCTCTCTTGGTTTTTTTTGGGGGTACCAGGCTTTTGACCCTTAGCCTTATGGGTCGAATCTTTGACTTATTTTGCGCATTAGGTGGAATGATCACTCTATGACTTTGCCATGATCATGGTTTATCATTCTTCAGTCTGAGCATGGTAAACCCAGCAATGAACTTTACTAAATCATCCCAGATTTGACCGGAACTGTGTTGCATAAACTTGTTGCATAAACTTAAAACATTGCAAATTGGAGGGGATATTGTTGGGTTTATGGTGTACCATGGTGTACCCTGGTTTACCTATCACCCCAAAAACATATATTCGGTCTGGAGGAAATTGATATGGTCCAAAGACTCCAAACCCCAATACTAGATGAGACAAGACCTGAAATGAACAATTTTGTGAGGCCAAAAAGGTACTGTACCCCGAGTTTGACCTATACCATATATTGGGAATGAATGTGTGAATGACCATTGACGTTGGGTTCTTGACCAGCAACCAATCGGATGGTAGTTTGTTGGCGAATTTCCAGATTTCACAAACTGAAATGGGTACACATTTTTGACACTCTTATGTGCTATTAATTCATCAATTGGGCATGGACATCAATCGTTGAATAAGGATTATAGCCTATAGCAACATATAGCAACTAGAATTGAGAAGAAAATACACTAGTGGAAGAGAGTTATCATTACTGGACACCCCCGAAAGTCCATGATTTTTGAATCATTCCCCCTATTAAACTATAGCAATAATATGCAGCAATGGGGTATCCCCAATTTCAGACACACACCCATATATATATAAGTAATTATAAGTATATAATATATTATATATACACATAATTTATACATACATAAATAATCATAAATATATACGTATACATACATACATACATACATACATACATACATACATACATACATACATACATACATACATACATATCATACATACATACATATCATATACGTATATATATATATACATATATATATATACAAGAGCGCCACGCCGGGTAACAAATCCAGCCAGGTGCTCTTCGAGGAGGAAGATAGCCAGGCCAAAAAGCCTTGAACAGACGTAAAAGGTCGATTATTAAGTGTATACATACATATATTATATGTATGTAATTATTAAGTAATTATATGTGTATATATATATATGTAATTATATGTGTACAGTATATATATATATGTATTATATGTATAATGCACCAGATTTGCCATGGCATGATGAGAACATCATCTGGTGACCTCGCAACATTCTGCGGCTCTTGGGATCATGCTCTGCAGCCCTTGAAATCTGGGGCCCCAATATGTTTCGGCCCCCGATGTAAGGATTCCAAAATGAGAAAATCCAGCACTAAACCAGGGCTAGTTTGGGGAGTACTTAATGTTAGCAGAAGGGATTATGGGTAGATACTGGTAGATATGTGCGGAGCTGTCCTATTCTGACAGTCGGGTTGTTCATCAAAGACTTTTGACCAAAACTCATGAAGCCTCGGAGCTTTGGCGCAGAATGATGGGAAGGATTTCAGAAAGTTTCCTGGGTGAATTCGGATGAATAAACTGTTCATGGACGTCGGGGCTCGGACAGGAGTTCATTGAGTTTTTCAAACAATGGGCACCAAGCTATGCAATGATGAACTCTCGGTGTGAAATCCCTATACTGAATTATTTTTGCGGTGAAATCCATCTGTTAGATCTGTGTATTATTGTTGCTTACCCTCTGGTAACTAACATAGCTATTGAAAATCGCCATTTATAGTGAGTTTTCCCATTAACAATTGTGATTTTCCATAGCTATGTTAAATTACCAGAGGGTAAATTTGCTTCACAGATCTTAACAGTCCATGTTTCTCCCTTTTTCCCCCCGTAGCCTGCCCTGATAGTCTGTGGTGGTGCCGTCTGGAGACGAATCCACGGAAGCAGAGAGGCACGGTGCCCTGGAAGGCTCAGATTGGCTTTATAGCTATATGGCCCTTTACCAGTTATAACTATTTGGTATACTAATTATAACCCCATTTATAACCCCATAAACCCCATAAATGGGGTTATATATAAGTGGATTTACCACTTATAACATCTTATAACCCCATTTATGGAATGATATGGAATGTATAATCCCATTTATAGTTTATAACAAGTCATATAGCCATGTATATTTGGTAAAAGACCATACTGTAAACATGTTTTGATAATCTCCAAATCATGAGGTCTTTTTTTTTGCTTACAGTTACATTCGGTTGGGGAAGTATCTACCTGCACATTTTTTGCGATTAAAGCATGACATATGGTGCCCGATGCTTTGACACATGATTGCTATGTTGTATCAATCTCCATTGCCAAAGAAACCATTTTCAAAGACAGCCTGACTATGATGCATTTTTGGGACATGTATAATATATATATATATATTCATGGGTGTTCTGTGGTGCGGGGTCAATCATTCCACCATCTCAAATTGCTCTGGATATCTCTCGATGATATCGAATTGGCAGTTTGATTTTGAGTTCTCCATTTTCATT